TTAGTAAGTTCTTGTACTACTCTGCTTTTCTTTTTCAATTAGTTGGTTACATTATGCTTTACACTGGCTGTTTGAGTGGCTGGGTGTTGCTAAACCACCAGAAAGCATGAGACCTCCAGTCCTTATGATGGCCTGTAAAGCTTTTGAATATTTGGTTTGTCCTTTAAAGCTCTTTTGAAATCACAACAGTCTCAGGTGTGGATTTAGTGTATGTTTCATTATTATTTTCAAAATAATTGTTCTTACTAGTGCAAATTTAGGAAATTATCAAGAACAAGTGTCTTCATGGGTTAAGCATGGAGGCAAAAAATGCATAAAATGAGACCACATCCCAATTATCATCTTTTAAAAAATAATCTATTCGAAAGGTTGGTCTCATGGGGTTTTTATTTCAATATTGACATAATTAGATTCCTCTTAAAAGAGAGTTTTCTGTCGGGAGTAAAGGCAAAAAATCAGTGGAATCTGCCCTTGTTGCTTCCATCCCTTGACTACAGTACATCCTGCTTGTGAAAGAATATTTTGAGTTCAGGTGCAGTTTTTCATTTACCATTGTAAGTTGCCAATGAGTAAGCCATTTGTAATAGCCCAGAAGTATGTAGGCTGAGGAGATTGTGATATTAAACAGCATAGAAAGGAGGGAGGAATAAGAAAAATAATTTCGAGAGTGACAAGAACTAATACGTAGAAATTAATATGAAAGGAGGTGCGTTTCCTTAATTAAATGCCTATGGTATGATTTGTTTTGAGGCTGCTTGTAAACTGGTTCCCAAACTGTTTAATTACTACTGTACTATTCATCTCACCTGCCTCAAAAATATTAATCACCAAATGGTAAAATATTAGATTGTAGTAGGAGGGTGATGTCAGAAGCTGAAACTCGAGTTCATTACAAATTCAATCTTTCATCGTGGCCTTTTAAAAGGTGCGTGTTAAATAACATAAATATAATTTTTTAAGATCCCAGTCAATATTAGGAAATTGGTGAATATAGGTGTAAATTATTCTTGCCTATGTGAGACATACATAATACTTCCTCAGTCCCTAATAATGCAGTGTTTGCTCTGTGGCATTTCATTTAGGAGTTCATCCCTGTGTAAATGCTGCTGTGAATCAATGAAAAGAAATTTACAATTCAGCAAAACTGTCTGCTTTGATGTATCACCATGTAGCAAATGAATCTGTGGAATCTGGAGGAGTAGGTATTTGTAGTGGCTTTTTAGTACCTCCTTCAGAAGTCAGTTCTGTAGGAGGTCTGGTTCCTTTGCTGCAGGAGAAAGGAGGAGGTCTGGACCTTAAATGTGATAGGCTCGTGTTTGCTATGAGAGGTGAGTGTCTTGACTTTGTGGATGGAATCGTTAATAACTACTAGGAACAGCACAAAATTAAGAATCTCAGAAACCAACAACCTCATTAAAGAACTGAAAACGCAGCGCTGCCTTTGCCTGGCATAGCCTGAGGTTCTGGAGAAGGACTGAGACAGACTTTTTTCTGTGGTGGTGTTTGCAGATTATTACAAGCAGCCTCAACTAATATGAAGTGCTCTAAACTAATTGATCTAACTAGACCTCGAGAATAGAAGGATTCAGTGTTTTTCATGCTGTTTCAAAAATGAAGTTATGCTGATATGGAGACCTGAAACCAGCAACATCTATCTGAAAATAATTGCTCTGATGTTGAAGAGGACTTCTGCTCGCTCTGTTTCCTGCTTTGCTATGTGGATGAAAAGGAGAAAACTGCGAGTGAAGTTACAGGTTCAGTGTTGTGTTTCCTCAGCTGTCTTTTTTTCCTTAAGTATAGTTTAGCTCTTGAAGTGAAAGCTATACATATTGGTACTCAGTGAGGTGAACATTAAAAGATTTCTCATAGGGTGTTTATATTTGAATGGTTAATTATCACTGTTTCCCATGTTCTTGTGCTTTGCCATTTATAAAAGGTTTTTAGACATTAGATTTTCTAAATGGAACATTTTACAGTAGTTAATAGCTTTTTCACTGAGACGCTAATATTTGCATTAATTTTATAATTAATCTTCTATATTTTACATTATAAAAAATAATACAGTACTTTTGCCAGGCATTAGAGAGACTTCCAAATATTCCTGTTTAGAGTAATAAAAATTCTGAGCTCCTGGATTAAACTGGGTTGGGGATTTTTTGTTAGTTTCTGGTGCTTTTACAAACTGGCTTCCTATTGTCATTGTGCATTCCAAGTTACGTTATCCATTTAGAACATCTTTAATTTTCATGTAATGAAATGGCTTTTTTTCTTTGAAATGCTCACAATCCCTATACAGATATCACTTTTTGAGTCTGGATATATTTTTAACAAGATTACTTAGTGGAATAAAACCTCTGTTTCTTGGACAGTGTTATACTCAAAATTTCTACTGGAAATGCAATGAGCTATCAATGATTTTAAGTTCAACTGGTAATCAAAGTAGAAAGAAAGGAAGCATTGGGAATACTATGCACAGTCTGATGCAAGTTGCTTATTTCTGAAAGAGCACATAAGTGTATTGAGAAATCAGTGATCCAGAGGGAAGCCTTCATGCCATTCTGAGCCCCTTGTAAGAATTGCCTGCAGAGCCCAGGAGAAGCAGATGTAGAGATTTATTTTTTTCTGGTAATTGATCATGCCAGCTGAAGTCAGCAGAGACTCAATGTGTTTTGGGAGCAGCATCTGGTTTTCTGCTTTGTTTTCTTGTCTCAAATAAGCACCTTTTGGATTGTGAATGGCACTTGGAGAAACTTCCTTACTTTCTTAGCCAATTAGGGCCTCTCAGTCAGTAATTAATAATAAAATGTCTCTCTCGGTGGCCACAAGTGCATACAAGTTTCTTGCCCTGAAAGAATATTGGGAAGGACTCTTTGCATAAGTCATGCTAATAAAAAACGTACACACGAGCAAGTTCTATTTTTTCCCTGTGTTGAAACAGAAAATTAGTATCTTGAGTGGACTTCATCTCTTTTAATTACTTCTCTACAATAAAAATTTTTCATTAATGTTGACTAGTAAGAGGAATTTCAGTTGTCATCTCCAGTAAGCATTATAATTTCACTTCATAACTTACTCGGTGGGAAATGTTCAAACAGGGACAATAATTTTATCTAAATGTTGTAGCTGACATGTCTATATCATGTGTCCAAGATGGAGCAGCTTTAAAAGTTAGTGATCCAAATCTGGTTCGTTTAAATGACTGATCTTGAAGTCTTTGTCTTCCTTGAAGAATTATATACAGCAACATGAAATATTAATTCAGGCTGAAAAAAATAATTCAGTTACTTTAAAACAAATAGTCTATTCCTTTCCTGAATGAAGCTTAAAGAAACAGTTCTGTGTTGTGCATTGGTTTGGAGAACTGATACTTATATAGGAATTTGATGTAGAAATATGAAAAAAGCCATTCAAAGTGCCTGAGATAAAGTGGTGTCAAAAAGATGTTTCTGAGAGTAAATTCAAGTACTGTGGGAGATATACATCACTGGGCATCAGTAGGGTGGGCCCAGAAAAGCAGAGCAGCTAAATCAGTTTTCCAGTGGGATCAGGTGTGATCAGATCCATAATCTGATGTGCGATTGATTTGGGCACTGGGGGTTGTTTTGGTTTGGGGATTTTTTTCTATGTGTCTGTGAAATGTTTAAACCTCATTCCATTTTATAAGCATTTGAAATAGTATTATTTATCGATATATCCAAAATTATCTTTTATTTTTCAGCAGTATTGACTGTATTGGGGGTAGCAAGTGGTGTTTTAATTTTGTTTACTAATAACTTTTATAATAGGAAAACAAATGCAAGTTTTTATTTTTTTTACTAATAGTACAGTCATGTAATTTGGTGAAAAAATTATATTGTTTACTGAATTATTAGGTACAGTTGTCCAGCTTTTACATTGATCCAATAAATTAACTGAATTATGTGTAAATACTTTGAAACAAATGTTGGGCTATGGTGAACTTGCAGCATAATTTTTCAAAGACTGGTATTTCTGTGAAAATTCTGAAGTTGTGGTTAAACACTGCAATTCTAAGGTTATGAGTCTTGATTTTCTGAGTAGCAAGTGTCAGCTTCTGGATTTTTTTTTCTTGATACATTGCACTCTCTTGAGATTGCATACAAAAAAGTGTGGTTGAAGTAATTTAATTTATAAATGTAAATCATATTTGTTGATAGAATCATGGTTACAATGAAACAATGCGTTCATTTTTTAAAAGAGATGAGATTTGGTCCCGCACATGGTATGGGTTTTAAAGAATTTTCATCATTTCCATCTCTATCCTAATTTTGTAGCTTGTGTTAGTTTTGAAATGCAAAAGGAGTGAGAAGGCCTTGCTAATACTTTGCATTTCATTCAAAGTAATAGCCACTTAATTATCTGAAAGGGAACAGCTTTACTTTTCTTCAGTTGTACAGACTGTTTTTCACAGATCCCTACTCTAAATGGTTCCAATATATCAGAATTTTCACCATCTTTGAATGTGAGCTTAGTGACCCTTTATCTAAGGGTTCTCATGTGGTTTTGTCCTGTGCTAGGTAAATAACATGAACCAGCAGTTTAAGCTGCCAAGGCAGTTGTGCTTTAAATATTAGGAAAGGAAAGCAGCTTCAGATTTTCCTACTGCCTAAAATACCTGCTTGGATGTGTGTTATCATGTGTGCTTTACCAGCACTGTGTGCCAGTGCTACCAAACATCTGAACAGAGAGGAGTTAAATGTAGGATAAGGGACCTTTTTTCTCTTCTTGTTTGTTTTGTCTCTTAGTGTTCTCATCTCCATCCACTTTTCCACTTTCTGCTTTTTCTGCCTCTCTGCGTGGTTTGTGTCCCTCCTTTTTCTGCTCTGATGTTCCTCACTCTTTCACAGGTGCCCATCATTCCTCTGTCTCTGAGGACTTGGGAGGAGCCTTTAACCTTCCTCTGAGGAGTGGGGGTTTAGGTTGTCTGTTCAGAATGCCCTGATACGCATCAACCCATTCATGGAACATTTTCTGTTCTGCAGGTTGGCAATCCACGTGTTGAGCTTACTCTTTCTGAGCTGCAAGATATGGCTGCCCGACAACAGCAACAGATTGAAAATCAACAGCAAATGTTGGTTGCTAAGGTAATAATTATATACAGACCATTTTTTTCAATATATGCAAGCATAAATTTCATGGATAGAGAAAAACACACTAAGTCATGTAAGTAAATCCATCACTTTACCAGAATAATCTTAGCCTAGGCAATGCACAGTCTTTTGGCATAAATACTGCTAGAACAACCTATGTCATGTGTCTTTATAAAAATATTGCTAGGGTTTATTTCTCTCTTTTGTGTGGCCCCCTTCATGATCTGTGGCAGAACAGACTCTGCTCCATGCTCATCTTTAGTGGCTCGTTCACTCCAGGCAGTCATATTGGGGTGAGGTGAGAATATGCCAAATTCATAAAAATTTATGTATTGCATTTCCAAGTCTCAGAGACAGAAGAACCTAAGTATGTTTGCAGAGTAGGGAGGGGGTTTAATGGTTTTGGCATTGTTGTTGATGTTGTTTGAAGTATTATAAAGCATGCCTTTGATGCTTGGGATACCTAGGAGTCAACCTACTGATTCTGTTGTTCTTTCTTGATGGAAATAATACCAAAATAAATTCTTTTCCTTATGTGTCCAGCAGAAGAACTATTATTTAGAACTGGGACATTTTCTTACAGCAGGTCATCTTGTTTAAAACGGTCTGTTGGACATTCTTTGTCATCTTTGGGAAGCTGGGTAATAGCACTGGAAATTTATTTTGCCAACAGCAAGAAAACTGTTAATAGTGGCAGAAAACAAATGCCAGAGGAAGCATCACAGATGTATTTGAATGAGTGTTCAGACCAGGGCAGTATTTGCAGATCTGTGTAAATATGAGATTTTTTTAATAAAAAAGTCTTTGAACCTCTGCTCTAAAACAGATTTGTTAATTGATGTTAAAGAGTTTTTTATAGGACTGGTACATATTTCATTGAAATAAATTTTCTGATTAGTGGACGTAGAAAACTTGGTCAAAATGATAGGGTGTTGGGTATGATGATGTGTTGGGGTATTTTTAAATAAGTGGGTAATAGATATCTCTTGTTTAAAACCTCCTTTTGCCAGGAGCAACGTTTGCGTTACCTGAAGCAGCAAGAACGTCGCCAGCAGCAGTCTGTTTCTGAGAGTGAAAAGCTTCAAAAACTCAAAGAACGTGTTGAAACCCAAGAAACAAAGCTGAAAAAAATCCGTGCCATGAGAGGACAAGTGGACTACAGCAAGATGATGAATGGCAATTTGTGTATGTTTGTATGATTTGTTAAATAAATCTTAATTTATTTAACTTACTGTTCACTGGATGACTAGCAAATAATGCTATATTGTAAGTCAGTATAGCATTGAAGCAAGTTTTCAGGTACAAAGTTTTTCGTTTTATGGAGGTTCTGTATTTCCATGATATTTGTATGCGACAGAACTTTCTCTTAGTTTTATACAGTCAAAAATAAAGTCAGAATAAGTCTGTTCTCTAACTATTAAGAAATATTATGACTGTTAGCAAATTTGCAATACAAATATTTTATATGCATTTTAGATGTAAAGTTAGTATGGTGTGTTTATTAGTAGTTATATAATTTAAAAATTAACAACTTCTGCTTTATTAAATCGGTTTTTGTTATTTTTATCTTGTTAATTTTAGCAACTGAAATTGAGCATATAAGTGCCATGTTCCAGGAAAAGCAGCAGGAGCTGCAGGCTGCAGTGTTAAAAGTGGATCAACTCACTCAGCAACTGGAGGATTTAAGGAAAGGGAAACTGAATGGGTTTCAGTCTTACAATGGACAAATGACAGGGCCTGCAGCAGTAGAACTAAAAAAGTTGTATCAAGAGCTACAGGTAAGTAACAAAAAGATGCTATTTGAATTACAATTGCAGATTTTAAAAGTTTTATTACTGCTCTTATCAGTTGCAGTTTGGTTCTGTTACACCTCATATAAGTAATATTTGGAATGCTATTAGTGTGTGAGGTTGTAGCTGGCATACAACCTTTCTGAAGAAAGAACTTCATTAGCTTTAAAAACTATTTTTTTTCTTATACACATAGTGATAGAGAGTGTGCAAGCGTTTTGAAGGGTGTTTCTCAGCCCTTAATACTGGAATACTGAAAGTCCACATAAATTATTTGTTTTAATCTCTCAAAAAAATTTTGTTAAACTAATTTTGGAATTTCTCTATTTTTCACTGATCTGGGTATAGCAAGCTCACTTAGATGTCATCTCAACTTTGAAACATGTAATTTTTAAAAGTATATTGTAAAAATACAGCTATATTGTCTGGTATGAATAAACAAAATACATAGGAATTAAATAACGTATCTTAATAGAGTAATCAAAACTACAAGCTGCACTCTATTCCCTGCATTAGATAGTGCAACATAGGTGCAGTATATTCACACAGTATTCCCTGCCTCAGTGTTGTCTATCTCCTGCAAGAAGATTGTTACATATGGAGTGTAGTTCTCACAAGTAGTTAAGTATCCAGTTTATAGAAAATTTTTTGTCAAATCGTGTGCTAATGTATCAGGATTTTGAGGGCTTTTATTATTTACTCACGTGCTTTATTGTGATCAAGGTAACAGCTCTAACATATTTAATATATTTAAATTATTTTAAATTTCAAAATTAGTCTCATTTTTTTAGATGAGCAAATCCAGCCTAGAAGTTAATCAATCCTGTTTTCATGCATTAGGAATAAGTGTTCTTTTTTTCTCTTTTTACCCCTTCCCCATTTATACAAGGCAGATACACCTTTGAGTATTCCTAAGTGCAAAGATGCTCAAGATTTCTCTCTTGTGCTTTGCAATGATCCCATATGTGTTTATCAAGACTTAAATTTGCCTTGGGTGTTTTTTGCTTGTAACATTGCCATGAAAATTGGAGCACTGAGACAATGTCTGAGTTATTGAAGGTGTGAAAAAATGCCAATGGCAAAGCAAGAGAAATAATTATAAAGAGTGTCATGGTTGATTTGAACCATAAAGGTAATCCACCTCATAATCTGCTGGATAACTGCTGTGAAGGTTTCAGTTTAATCCCCATGCAGAGGGCAAAATCTGTGTCCAGTCCCTGCACTAGCAGTTCAGTTAAGCCCCCTTCCAGACATCACGAAGTCTCATGTGGAACTGGAAACAGAATCAATAGCATAATTTCTGTTTACAAGTTTTGTATCACTTAGTTTTCGTGATAGACAAACTGTCTTGGGTAAGCATAACTTTAAACAAACATTTTCTGTGATTTAGTTCTTCACAGTAGAATTTTCTGAAATGTCTTTCTGCCTAATTTTTCAATCCATTTTTCTATAAATGGGATGCAGTCTGTATGTATTTGATAGGCATCCACTAGGGGTTTTTTTAGGATATTTTTTCACTGTTTTCTTCTAAGAGTTGTTCATGATTGCAAATGCTAACTTGACAGGATGTGCGGAAGGGTAAATTAGAGACACTAGAACAAGTTGTTGATCCAAATTCCTTTGGGTTTTTTTAACACTGCATTAAAAAACAACTTGCTAAGAGACAGAACAAGAACTGTTCTAACAAGTGTTTTGGGATTTTTTTCTGTTTTTTTTTTTTTGTTTTTGAAGATCCGTAACAGGCTTAACCAGGAGCAGAACTCCAAGCTGCAGCAGCAGAAAGAACTCCTAAACAAACGCAATATGGAGGTGGCCATGATGGACAAGCGAATCAACGAGCTGCGCGAACGTCTGTACAAGAAAAAAGTTGAGGCACGTCAAAAAGAAAACATTCCTGTAAGATAAACTGTTAAAAGGGCCACACTTCAGTTTATCAAGGGCCTATAAAAGCTACATAGAATCTCACTTTTTCCCACTCAAGTAATACAGTTACCTGTGATAAAAATAGGAAGTCTCTTAAAACTATTTTAAGGTTTCTCATAGGTTTCCAAAACCTGTAAGACAGGATATGTTTCCTTTTATTTTTCTTTGTGGCACAGACTGTATTTTATTAAAAATCAGAAAAGTTTATATTTCTAGGAAGGAAAGTATGACTATGTGCTATGTGTTTAAAAGCATGAATGCATTAAAAAACTGGATTTTATAAAATACTTAAATTCCAGCATAGAAAATGTATAAAAAATAAATAGTTTGATAAAGTTAGGCTTAATAGTTGTCTGGAGCTTCAGAAAGATTTTAAGAGATGAATTCTGGATTTCCAGATGTATTACTAGCTGGAGGTATTGCTTAAAAAAGTCCCCAACACATACATATTTGATTTGTTTAAGAACTCATTTTAGACCATTTGTTTGAAAAAGGAGCAGTGAAAGACACCTTACAGAGATAAAGGTATCTACAAGAGATGTATGTGCTGTGCCTAAGAAATTTAATGAGGTGTTGATTTTAAGGAATAAAATTTGTGCTTTCTAATACTTTTTTTCTTCTTTTGTAGAAACATAGAGTATGTTAATTATTAAGGTGTCCTAGCTATGCTATAGTGCATGACTCTAGATAATTAAGTTTAGACCTTCTTGTTCATGCAGAAAGGTCTAGATTAAATGGACATTGACGTTTCAGTTTGTCTGATTGTTTTCAGTTGAATCGCATTAATGGAACTTCGTCGCCCCAGTCATCCCTGAGTGCTTCAGGAAGGGTGGCAGCAGTAGGACCTTACATCCAAGTTCCCAGTGCTGGCACTTACACTGTACCAGTAGATCCAGTTAAGCCACAGTCACTCACCATTGCTCCTAACTCAACACATGGAAGATCAAAATCTGGTAAGTACTTGTGTGACGTTTATTAATACATATAGTTTGAAAAGGGGCAATAAAGAAAAGGAGTGATCTTAGGAGACCTAATGTTGGCATAATTGGCGTAGGGGAGGAGGCAAGTTTCAGATGTGTTAATACTGTTCTGTGAATTGAACATCAGTCATTTGATCTGTGGCATTTTTGCTTCTTTCCATGAGTTTTTCTTAGGAAATGAAGTGTTTTCTTTGAAATTTTACTGGCTGGTACATCCCTAAAAGGAGCACGTTTTCTTCACAGATTCTATGTTGTGTCTTTAATAGCTTTTTCAATTAGTTTGTGTGTTTGAATATAATAATAAAATCAACTTTGTGGAAAACTGTATTATAAAATAACTATTTACAGTATGTTTCTTTTTGTCAAGTAAAATAAAGCTAGTGAGTAAATAATAATAATACTTCTCAGAAGGAGACTAAATAGGAAAATAGAATAAAACTGTGAGAGGTTTTTGCTCCATCTGAGATGTGGGAATTTGTGGTCTTTGAGGCATTTCTGAAATGGAATAACCATAACATTGATGCTGTTTACTTGTTTCTGCCCATTTATTTAGTGAAGAAGCTGCCTCTCCAGAGCACCCCAGAACTTTGTGTCCAAAATTGACTCCCGTATCTCCCATCATTAATAATTCCATCTAAAATTTTTTAATAGAATTATTATTTAATTTGTGTTGGATACTGAAGAAAGCAGGTCATATTTGTGCCTTAAGTTCTCAGTTCTAGCAAATCTTACCTGTCTGCTCATACCTTAGAAAAATCAGAATTCTTAAGAAATTATAAGCTAGGAAAGTATACCTAATAGAAATAAAAATGCCTGATTCTATTGGTCTAGCCACAGGACTTATTTTACCCAGTCTCCTAGGAAAGATCAAAAAGGCATGACTAGGAGACCAAAGCTGCTGCAATATTCACAAACATTCAAGTATTTAAAACTGAATATTCCAGCAAAATTCGCATCATGCTTTCCAAATAGGGAGGAAGAGATGGAGATAAGACAGTCTGAGCATCTCTGTAGGAAAGAATGTCAGAAATGTCCTCCCCTCCCTGACCCCCCCAAAAAACCCTAAGGTCAGGAAGTAAAACTGGCCAAACAGAACTTTTTAAAAATACACCAGTTTTTCCCATTGATATTAGTGATTTAGCAATACCTTTATCAGCTAAAAGTATTAAAAATCTGTACAAACCTCATCACTGTGGTTTTATGGAAAAGTCTCAAGAATATGGAATGACATAATTGTGGGGTGAAGGTACAGATTGGCAACAGTTCTGTTTTCAGGTTCATGGATCCTTCTTCCACATATGGAAAAGGACAGTTCCTAACTTTTAAGTTTATCAACTAAAACCCACAATTTTGTAATATCAAGCTCCCAAAATATATATACCCACTTCTAGACCTACCTCAGGACTTTTAATCTTATAAAAGTAATTATTCTGCCTTAGGACTGACTTTGTATTTATTATTTTGAAGGTACTTGAATGAGGTTCTGTAAAATAGATTTATGTAAGGAGAGGCGTATATGCTCCCAGGAAGAAAAGAAATTGAGAATTTGTTTCAACTGTCATGCTTTTATTTCTCATTATCTGAGTGTTCCTGTTCTAATGTTCTCCATTGTCATTGTTATAATTTTTCCACCACTTTTTTCTTTCTTTTTCTGTGTAACTGGATCTGCCTTGGTGCGTCCGGTAGAGACAGACTGTGGGTGTGTGAAAAAATCTCCAGACACCTGGAAGGTTTCTGATTTAGACATAATAGTGGATCCTATTCTGTCACCTCCCACTTCTCTTCAGTCTGCTGTTCACAATGTCATCCGCCTGGCACCTACTCTGTTTGACACCCAGCACTGTGAGTCCGTAGAAGATCTCTGGCTAGCTAAGAACTCAGTTTTAATATGATCATCTGAGCTCTTGCACACAGATGCATATTAAACAGCATCTTTAGAACTTGTGTTGTGGTCTGGCGTGTAGAAGATGCTGTTGAAATGTAAATTGGTTGAGAAGTTGCTTTTCATCTTTGAAGGAAACAGATTTGCAGCAAATTCATCCCAGGAGTACTGGAGCAGTGTACCAGGGATGAGTTTTCTTCTCTGAAAAACCCCAAAATTTTCTAAATGTTAGAAATTTCTGGCAATCACTAAAGCGTGTTTTAGAATATTTTGGATTGGTTGGAGTTACTTTGTGGGAAACTTGAAGTTTCCATGTTGCACTGACCCCAGAGTTGGGATAAAAGCTCACTCTGTCCAAGTCAATACCCAGTCTTGCTGCCTTCCATTGGACTTGGAGTGTGCTTCAGTTGTTGTAGTAAGTATCCCGGATCCAGACCTACAAAAATTTTAGGTAAAGTCAGAGAAAATGCACAAAACCTTTTGTGTTTGTGTGTCACTGTCTTATTTATGTAAATGCACAATGGCCTGGTGAGAGCTGAAATACACTGGGTATTACATTTACAGGCACAGGCAAGAAGAGGGTGTATTTGGAGGGGAAGATGGAGCCAGTTAGCTGTGGGGTGGCTCAGAGCAGGAGCTGGGGTGGCCTTGTCAGGAGGGTGTTGGCATTAGATCCCCCTAGACCAGGTTGCTGAAAGCCTCATCCAACCTGGCCTTGAACACCACCCCCAGGGATGGGGCATCCACAACTTCTCTGGACAACTTGTGTTACTGACTCCCCACCCTCAAAGTGTAGGTCAGAGAGAGGAGAGAGAGTCTCAATTTACTTCCAGTCTGCTACCTCAGAATTTGGGAGTACACATGCTGATTACAATAAGTTTTTGTGTATCTGTCTTTTTAATAAAGAAGTGTTGAATTCGCAGGTAAGATGTTTAAATTTGTCATGTCTTTTGCTGTTGTTTCTGTAAGTGCTTTCCTCATAATTAAACTTACATATCCAGATGCTTTCATGTTTAGCATGAATCAATTATAACACCTTTCACTGATCTTCAAAAACAAAGGTTTTACTGGACTGTAACCTTACTGGAGGTACAGAATGTCTTGTGTATTTTGTACAATAAGCATTAATTCAGTGCCTAGTTGGAAAATTTGCCTTTATTTTGGGCCTAAGTGTTTAAACATCTTTTTGGTCTCGCTTTTGATAACCAGGTGATTAAAAACAATAACAAAACCCACAACATTTTCAGCTCTTAGATAATGCCAATATTAAAGCTGGGCCTCATTACTTCCTGGCAGTTTGCAAGTATGAAAAGTGATTTCTGGACTATATACTGTATTCTCAGTGTAAAAATATGCAAGTGTTAATCCTGTTTTGAGAGATACTCAACAAAGAGAATAATGCTCTTGGATAGAAAGTAGAGTGGTGATGGAAAATTCATTCTCATCAGAATGTTCCTATGCAGCTTATTTTGAGACTATCTACTACACTAGACAGAGAATTCTAGAAATAGCCGTGCTGATTCAGTTTTCTAGAGGCTTAGAACTGAAATAGGAAACTTGGCTTCTAAATACCTGATTTTCATTTGATATTGTATTACTGTGGGGTCCAGAAATCTCATTGAATCTTCATACATGCCCAGTCCTCCTCCATTTTAGGTGCTATCCTGTAGTAAAGTCAAGTACGTGTTACATGTCACCTTTCCTGATTTAAGTGCTCCATAAAAACAATTAGAAGCCATAGGGATGGAGGAATGATCTCCAGCCTCCTTAGAGGAAGAGATGCCTGAAGTTTAATCTTGTAGAGTCAAATCAAATCCTTGGCTTTAACATGGGATCTATTTAGTTACTATAAATCATATCTAATTCTTAGGCTACTTAAAGTCTTTTGCTTACTTAGAAAACTGAAACTAAATAGTGTCACACAGGTAATAAAGTAATATCAATGCATCTAGGACTTCATTAAGGATTTGTTGCCTCAGTTTATGTGCAGCTTTGCATGATTTTTTGCACATGATGAAGATAAAAGCCCATTACTTGTGTCTTGACACTGTGAGTTAAAGTTGTCAGCTGACTTCATAAATTTATTTAATATTTAAATCTCTGAGGCAATTGTAATTGGGTGAGTATGTTGAGGAAAAACACAAGGTGAGTTAACCACCACTTCCAGCGCAGGAATGTGTGCTTTTGTTCCACCCTGCTGTTGAAGGGAGTTCTTACATCCTGTTATGGGTGTATGAATCTGGTAACCATAGTTTAAATTTGGAGTAAGTCCATTCAGGGCTTACATAGACTTAACATTTAGTGTAATTTGACAGTGTCTCTGGATAATGTCCAAAGAATTGTGTTGATGAAGTGTTTCTGCAAGGATTTTTACTCTGAATTTGTTTGCCTTCTAATAGCAGAATATGCAACACTCAAGCCAAAATTTTCATCATATTTTTTCTATAGAAATTTTCAGTGCAATTTGAATGTTGCAGCACATTCAGATTGTAGTGATAAGGCTTTCAATATTGATTTCTGAATCAAATATTATTAATGATTTATCTCACTTCTAGAATCAAACTAATCCCACTGTAATCTAAGCTATTTTATTTCACATGTTGTATTGCTTGCTTGCAATGCTAGTATGGATTCTTTTAAATCTAGTATTTTTGTCTATTTTCAAGCTAATGATGGAAACTGGCCGATACTTAAACAGAGCTCAGCCCCTGTGGTAAAACCCCCTCAGATCTCCAACACAGACTGGAAAGAATCGAGCATGGATACTGCTTTAAAACAAGGAACTATATCCAGCCAGCCTTTGCCAACTTCAGTATTAGGAAGTACTGATAAGCTGGTGGGTTTCATCTGTGATATATTTATAGATCTGCTTTGCTGCAATTATGAACATTTGGCTTTCATAGTTGAACTCATTTCAATTAGATACACATTCCATTTCCCTGCTGCTGTTTATTTAAAAAGTCATAAAGAAAATTACCTTTGTATTTCTTCTGTTCCTTTCTGTTCTTGTCACATTAAAAAGTGTGGGTTTGTTTCAATGTCAGTACTTTGTATTCCTTCCTGTTCTTTTACATATCTAGTCTCCCCGTTTCTCTTTTTGCTTCTTCTAATCCTCTCCTCCTTCCTTCATGTTTTTCTAATTCATATCTTTGTTAGTATTTTTTCTTTGTGTGGATGATTACTTTTTCAATGTACTCTTTTCCTCATAAAAATCTCACCAAAAAAGTTATTTAATCCATCCTTAAGTGGGACTACTTGTGGTGTCTGTGTTCACTGTTGTGCTAGTACTTTATGAATTCTTTAAGACTATAATGTTTAAAGGATAAGGACTTGGTCTTTAAGTTGTTTTTGTAAGCTCTGACAGTATGTGTTGTCAAGATCAACTGAGATCTGGAACCTAGAACAGGTTAATCAGGCTTTGCATGTATGCAAGTAGTTCTGAATTGATATGAATGTGTTACAGCTGAAAGTGCCTTTAAACAGTGGCCTTTGTCTGAGTATGATGAGATCCTCAGATAAACTCAGGTGTAATCATATCTATTGATAAAGGAACACAAATTGTTTATGTTGATTCCTTTTCTGTCCCACAAGATTGCTAGTATGGTGTGTTGAAAAAGGAATGTTCTTGCTCAGAAGTACTTTATTTAATTAAATGGTATATGCTATTTATTGTTCTTACACAGGGTCTTGACTTGGGGAAGGTGCCACCAACAGTTCCTGGTGTAAGCAAGCAGTTGCCTCAGAACTATGGGACCTATCCAAGCCCAGTTCCATTAGGAACAGGTTCTACAAACTCTCTAGAAAGAAGGAAGGATGGCAGCCTGCCCAGACCTGGCACCAGTGTAGCAAATCGGCAAAGGCCAGTTCCGCTCCCGCCGCCCAGCAACGTGCACCAGCCCAGCTCTTCACAGCAGATCCAGCAGAGAATTTCTGTCCCTCCCAGCCCCACGTATCAACCCTCTGGTCCCCCCTTGTTCCCCGGAGGAGAGGGCAGGCCAGAACTGCCTTTGACTGTGGCAATCAGACCTTTTCTCGCTGACAAAGGATCCAGACCTCAGTCTCCCAGAAAAGGGCCACAGACAGTGAACTCCAGTTCCATCTACTCAGTGTATCTTCAGCAAGCAACACCACCAAAGAATTACCAACAAGCTGTGTACAATACTTTAAATAAGTCGGTAAAAGCAGGTAGAATATATTTTGCTATTTTTTTTTCTTTGAAATACATTAAGATCTACTTGTTTGGCTTAGTTGACTTCCCATATTGGTGTGGAAAACTTGTCTGAATCTGTGAGGAAAGTTATTTTTGTGTATGCAGCATAGCAGCAAAATAATTCAATATATTTTTGAGGTTATCAATAAGTATGCATTGATTTATCTTTAAATTTTACAACAGGATATAATTGGAGCAATATAGCCTGGATAGTTTATCAGTACTTTGGTAAATAAGTTGAGAGAACAGAGTCTAGATAAGAGAGTTTTTCTTCTCTTACTGTTTCCTCATGAAAGAGGAAAAACAGTCCAGTTTCTACTTGTAGCTTATAATTGTAAGAAGCATCAGCATCACCAACAAGTAAGTATTTATTTCTGTTTTGACAGTCTTCAGAACAATATTTTTCTTCTTTCTGTGTCAAACAAGTTTATTTATATAAATATTTTTTAATGTAATTTAAGAACAGCTCTTCACTGTTTTCCATCTTTCTTTTCTTCAGTTTATGGAAAGCCTGTATTACAGTCTGGTTCAACCTCTCCCTCACCCTTGCCATTCCTTCATGGCTCTTTGCCTGCCCAGTCTCCCTCACAGCCACAACCTCAGCCTCAGACTGAGATCACTGAAAAAGAGCAAGAGCTGGAAAATGCTCCACCACCCAGTGAAAACAGCAATGTGGAAAACATTCCCCGTCCTCTCAGTCCTACTAAGCTCACCCCTATTGTGCACTCGCCCCTACGGTATCAGAGTGATGCTGACCTCGAGGCTCTGAGGAGAAAATTGGCCAATGCTCCAAGGCCATTAAAGAAACGCAGCTCCATCACCGAGCCAGAGGGCCCGAGTGGACCAAATATACAAAAATTATTATATCAGCGCTTTAATACCCTGGCTGGAGGGATAGAAAGTGCTCCTTTTTATCAGCCAAGCAATCCACAGGACTTCATAGGCAACTTAGCTGACGTTGATAATGGGAATGCCAGCACCAATGGCAATATTGAAGAACCAATCCCCGTGCAACCTACAGTTCCTGTCCCTGATGAACCACCCCCTTCATCAGATGCCAATGATAATGAGTTACCTTCTCCTGCTACCGAGGAGCTGATAAGCACTGAAACCACAAATCAAACACCTGAGACAACTGAAGACAACAACAACAATCTTGCTATAGTTCCTTCTACTGAGCAGTCACCCAGTCCCACACCAGAGGTCAGTTCTCCAGTAGAAGATGAAGCTCCTTTGCCACCTGCTCTTCCTCCTCCACTTCCTGCAGTAAGTAACAAAGCAAAAGAACAGCTTTGTGAACTACAGAATTAGCTTTGTGCTTAGGCATAATTGGAATATAGTAAGCTTGTGCTCAGCGATGTATTTGCACTTGAAGTCTCATGATATTAAAAGGAAAGAAAACCAGGGGAGTTCCAGGGAGAATTCTGATGAATTAGTTTCTTTACTGCTCTAGCTGTTTAATAAGGAAAATATGCAAACAGGTAGCAGGAGGTTGTGTATGTATTTTTCAACTTTTTGGAGGTTCTTGCTGTAGAACTAATTCTGGAATTGCAAATTTTTTTTAGGTTTTTTTTTAATCCATCCGGGTCTTCAAAGATAGCCTACCCTTAGGTTCATACAAATAGTTATATCAGTGCAAGCAAGCACTGATAGCAGGCAAGCTGAAATAGGTGTTCTGGGGAAACTGCACTCCTTTAGCCCTCTTAGACGAGATGGACCAGGGCTAAGTCTAGCAGCAGCACAACTGGCTTGTGATAGCAGAAATGTTCTTCTAATGGGCTTGTCACATACTTTGAATTGCTTCCAAAGTCCATCCTCCAGCTGCACTAAAATCTTTTAAATACTTGCCATTACCAAAATCTACCACATTTGGAGAATTGAAAAATACAGAAGAAAATGGATTTTATTCTTTGTTGTTGTGATATCACTCACTCTTTGAAACCAAGGTTCATCCTCATTTTTAGGTTCAGCTAAGAATCTTGCATTCCTCTGAGAATTCGACTGCAGTATGCACAAGTATTTTCCATGAGCATAAGGGCCAGGATACTTCTGAGAGAATGGGATATGCTAGTAACTAATATTATTCATAATGTGGAGGGTTAATTTTCCCAACTGAAATAGCCATCCTATATAGGACCATAAGTGAAAACAGATCCTACAGAGCTAGACACTAAAAGCATTCTATAAAAGCTGTAGTTAATAATAGATTTTTTTTTTCCCCGGAAAGCAACAAGGACACATGTAGGGGATTCAGAATATTCTCAAAACACATTTAAATGTGCTTCAGATCTTGAAAATGCTGTTTCTGATAACACTTGCTAGAATGTCACATAAAATAGCTTCTCGTTCTGTACTTTTCATTCCTGCAACAAAACTCCCAACTTGCCAGTCCTGACCTACAACAGAGACTCCTGCTAATTCAAGGCATTGATTCCTCTAAGTACAGACTCTGGCTTAATTGTGTGGTGCTTTCTAGTCTAAGCAAAAGTTTTCAGTGTTTTAGATAATCCACCAGTAATATGCACAGCTTATATTAGATACAATTAAGATGATGATGCTTAAAACACTGACTTAAGTACTTCATTCCTTGTACTCACGGTCTTTAATTAGAAGCTTTGAAACTATATTGGCTTGCTTTTTTGTTTTTTAACTGCATAAAATGTAGTAATGTATCAAGCCTTTTATTTAGAGACTTAAATAGAAATGATTGCTTAGTTCTAAATACCATTTAAGGAAGATGAGATTCATAAATGAATAATTTTTCTACTTGTATAACCTGAAATGATGCCTTCCAACCTTCATCTCTACTCAGACAAAACGTACCAACTTGAAGAAACCCAACTCAGAAAGAACAGGCCATGGTTTGAGAGTGAAGTTTAATCCCTTGGCTCTCCTCCTAGATGCTTCTTTGGAGGGTGAATTTGATCTGGTACAACGAATCATATATGAGGTAAGCTTTTTAAACAATGGCAACCTCATGCAGCGTTCAGGAAAAAAAAGTGCTGAACTATTTTGTGTTTTCAACAGGTTGATGATCCCAGTAAACCAAATGATGAAGGCATTACACCTTTGCATAATGCAGTGTGTGCTGGTCATCACCACATTGTGAAGTTCCTACTCGATTTTGGTGTAAATGTAAATGCAGCAGATAGTGATGGGTGGTAAGTGTCAAGATTACTAACCTAGTATCTGGGAGAAACACCATTTAGATGCACATTCAAGATGTAGTTGAGACCTGTTTAGGGAACAATTTCCTTCCTCTTTATCCCCAGCAAATGAGTACTCTCTAAGCTGTAGGTGGAGATGAACTCAAATGCAAGGTTACAGCATGTTCAGTTCCCGAGCAAGCACACTTAAACCATAAATTAGATTACAGTTTGTGATAATTAGTGGTAGACTTGCATTTCTTGTTCAGATGCTGAAATAATTAAACTATAAATAACAAATGACAAAAGTTAATTTGTTTAAGTTTCTTCATTGTAGATCCCACTATAGGTATTGGTGTTCTTGAAGAATCTCACCTTAGCTGTAGCATTCCAGAAGTCTTGGGGGAGTGTGAATCCTCACCTCTGTGAGGATTTTTTTTACCTTTCAGGTTTCCTTGTAGTGGAAAACACCCTTTTACACCCAACAGCTTTGTAAGCTGTGAAAATTGTTAGTTTTGCTATCATCTGTTTCATAATTCTTGGCTTTACTGGAGTCAGGTAAATCCTGAAATCCACCCTAGCTGCTTGACGGGTTTTAGACAATGCATACACATACTATAAATGTAAAGAAAAATTTCCTTTTAAAACAGACAGGCTCTACATGACACCATGAAAGTCAGGATTTATGGAAGCTTCTTTTTTCACATGTACATTTTTTGCTTTATTTCAGGACACCCTTGCATTGTGCAGCTTCTTGCAATAGTGTTCATCTCTGTAAACTACTGGTTGAATCTGGGGCAGCTATTTTTGCTTCAACTATAAGTGATATAGAAACTGCTGCAGACAAGTGTGAGGAGATGGAAGAAGGTTATATTCAGTGTTCCCAGTTTTTGTATGGTAAGCTGTGACACTAACTCTTTTCTAAGATTCATCTTTATTTCTCCCTCTGATCTGTGTGAAACATCTGCTTAGGCCCCAGACTGGATGATATGGTCCATCATGTCCCTGTGCTTTCAAAGTGCAAAAACCAGAATCATCATTTCACTGTGATGTTGGTCTTAGTCCTTCTGGGTTTTGAATTACTTCACAGACTCCTTCAAATGCTAAGATTTTTAAACTTTTAATTTCATTTCAAGGAGATGCTTCTACAGGGAGGTTTTGACCATAACAGTGAGTTGCAAGTAGTTTGACAGAGAGACTCCTAACTTCTAGATGCACAAATTTCTAGCAGTTCACACAAAGAAAGAAATATACTTTGAGTAATTAACTTACAGAAGGCGCTTAGTAACTAAAATATAGTTTGCAAGAAAAGCACTTCAATGGAGCAGACAAATTTTTAATTTCCATTAAAGGATTAAAGCTTCATTAAGGCTCTGTCAGATCTGACATTGTGTGAGTTCCGAAAGCCTCAAGTGTTTGCTGTAGGAAGCACTTTCCACTGCATGTATAATAAAAGAGAAAAACCTCATTCTCTAAATTATTCTGTAAGATACTGTTTTATCATGTAGTTAAATTTCTAACATCATTTCATCATGGAAGTGCTGAAAACTGTTCATGAAATGGTATTAACAGGAGATTAATATTTGGGCCACCATGTCAATAGTAAAAATCTCAGAGGGGAAAAAGAGGCTATTTTACCATCTGATGTTGTTAACAGGAGTTCAGGAGAAGCTGGGAGTGATGAATAAAGGGGTGGTGTATGCTCTGTGGGATTATGAAGCCCAGAACAATGACGAGCTGTCATTCCACGAGGGCGATGCCATCACTATTCTGAGGCGCAAGGATGACAATGAAACGGAGTGGTGGTGGGCCCGCCTCAATGACAAGGAAGGCTATGTGCCTAAAAACCTCCTTGGGGTAAGTTCTTTCACCCTCTCCCTTCTATATTTCACATGCTCCTGAAGTAGCAACAGAAGAGAAATACTTGGTCAGAATCCCTCTGTGCACCATCCACAGCACTATGAAGTGGTATAAAGCAGATTATCCTTATTCTCTCCGGCCTCTCTGCCATTGTAAACAAACAGGAGAGGCTACTGTTAGGAGATTGGTGCTGGTTGTCATTAAGCAAGTTAGTATATTTAATATAGTTTATGCTTTAATTAGACTTTTTTCTCCCCCTTGGCTAAAATATAGAGCCCTTATGGAAAGCTTGGTGGCTCCATTAGGCAGCTTGAAGCCTTGGTTCAGAAAGTTCTTTGGGAAGGTTTTTAATACCTGGCTCAAGATTAGAACATAGGTGTGTGTGTGAGTGTAAAACAGGAAAAAGCCTTGAAGATGACAACTGTGGGCACATCGTTTATGCTGCTCAGACAGATGGAACACTGTCACAAGAGGCCAGGAATGGTAGGTGACTAAGTAGAGAGCTACTGAGGACAAAATACATAAGAAAACCTTGCGGAGCAGGAAATAAGCTCTCTGGAATGCTCAACAGGGAATTTTTGTACTTATGTAAAAGCATCCTTTGTCTGTTCTGGATCTTGAGCTAAATGCACCACGTAATTTTCAGAGCAGCTACGTTGCTGCCAGTGGCAGAAGTAAATCAGCCCTTTTCCTCCAGCTTCTTGTTTTTCAGGAGTTGCGTGTGAACACCCCCAAGCTTACAAAAACCTCACCTCCCAAAACATTTCATCACTCAGTTCTGCCTAATAAGTACTCCTTAGTTATAAATTATGTAAGTTGGTATTAACCATGCAAAGCCTAATACTGCTATTCTGTTTTTTAGTTATATCCACGAATAAAACCTCGACAGCGAACCCTTGCTTGAATTCAGTTTTACGACAATGCAGTACCATGCTGGTAACTGGAAACTTAGAACATACACTGGAGCCATCATTTTTGATCATTTCACACAGAGAAATAAAACTATGAGACTTAGTTTTAATGGTGCTTTCTCTTGTTAAATGGACAGCATCCACAGTTTCCAAGATCTGCAGTTTGTAAGTGAGGATCGTTTCTGTGTGACCGAGCACTGAGAGGAGAGCGATACCTCCAGTACCGACAGTGTTGCGCCAACTCTCGTCTAACGCAGTGTTTTGAGTCAGAGTTCTGTGGTAGGAGCTTTCTTGTGTTCCGTGTTCAGAGGTGTCATTTGCAGAGTGCAGATGCACTGTCCAGTTTGCTCCAATCCCCCACAGTAACTGTCCCATGTCGGGATTTTGGGTATTTCTGTTCAATACCAGTGAATGTTGAGTTCTCATTACCGATCAACTTTTTGGGTTCTAGGACATGAGATCTTCACCTGTTACATGCATAATTAAGTAGTTACCAAAGCTTGGTGAAGGCTAGGATTTTAGGTGGCAACATGCTAAACACTTAAATCCTAGTCTGGACAACCCCAACAAAAGCTTTACCTAGTCTAGCATCTTGCATTATTTGCATTTAGAATCAAGCTAGAGAACTAACAAAACCAACAGTATTTGTACACTTCTCAAAGTCCCTACACAATATTTCACTTGGTGTTTTATTTTCTTATTATTATTCAGCCTATAGCACCGGTGTTACCTCTACGAATGTAAAGGTTCCCCTACTAACCCCCCGAGCTCGTCCAGCCTGGACACAACAGTTAGTACTGAAGTTGCAGCAGCTTAAGGGATTTGTATGTCTGCAGGGATGAAAGTGCAATAGTTGAAAAGGGTAAGAGTCTGGTAAGGGATATAATGTGTCACCTGAAGTCTGCCTGAGTCAGTCTAGAAGAAAATATGAAGGACTGGATAGAAGTAGAAAGAGGGTCATGTAGATGCCAAGTTGAGGAGAAGAAAGGAACAAGGTTTAGAGAAGGATTTAAGAAAGGCAATAGCTTATTTGAGGACAGTTTCTGTGGTTCTTGGCAGCCTACAACTGCTGCCAAGGCAAGTTATGCAATAACCTGTTCCACTACATTGTAGTTTCAAGCAAAAAATAAAAACCCCACAAACAGGCACTTCACTGGAATTTTAATTGTACATGATTTTATATACCAAAAGTATATTTTGAATTTCCCGTTATAAGTTTTAGCCATATTTCTTGTAATTTTCTCCCATTTAACAGTATGCAATTTGATTAACTCTTCATGTACAAGTTCTGTGTATAATTTATATATCCATTTCTGCAGTGCTGTAACTTGCTTTTACCACAGGTCAGCATTAACTGTATATATTGTGGTGAAAAGTGAAAGGGTATTATTGTTGAAGAATTTGCTACATGAATGTGATGATTTCAAGAGCCTATGATACACTAATTCAGAGAACATGTAAATGTGCACAATAAAGTACTGCTAAGGCATGGCTGCATTCTCCACTCTCTTTATAGAGGTCTCAACAGCAGATGTGGCTTTGGTGAGAGTCTGCATGAAAGCACTAATTGTAGCTTGCCAAGGTTACACCTTTCCTCCTCGTTTTACCAGCTTCATTGAAGATGTGCCTATGCACTAGTATCCCAGTATTCCAACTGGGACAAATTAACTTAGAACTAAAATTGGTGTTTTCTTTAGAAAAAGTGAAACTTTTCAGAGTTCAGAGACCATGGTGGCCGTTACTAAAGAAGTTTTATATTACAAAATTAAATAGCACCTCTTTTTTTTAAATAAGTGAATTAATTTATTCATATTTGTACATTAAATTGTATACAATTTCAGATAGCATTACAGTTAGATTAACAAAAGCTAGTTACCAAAAAAGAAAATACAAAACTAAAAATTATTCTGGAAGCTTATTACAGAAGTTTCAAGGTCAAGTTCATGTAAGTCAAATCTGGTGGTATTTGGTGAAATATTTAAATGTTTAAAAAAATCCACATGATTTCTATAAAATCATATCTAAAGCAGATATTTTTTTTACATTGATTTTAAACATTTGGATAGAGGGAAAAACCTGAGATCTAGACCCAAAAGCTATTCTCTGCAGAAGAGACATACACATTTGTTTGCTTCCTGTAGCAAACAGTATATATAATGGTTACTATAAAAGTTGTGCTGTACATTAGCTGTAGTGCAGGTCACTTTCATATTAAGTGCCAGTAAAGGCTTGACAAAATATACAAAGTCTTAAAAGGTGAGGCTGTTTAAAGCATTAACTGTATACATATTGCACACTACCGTGAATACTCATGGTTCAAAAAAATACTCACATTGCATTTGCCAGTTCTTACATAATGAACCACACTGGAATGAGAGAAAGTCAAGAACAGCAAATATTTCCAGCTGTCAAATCAGCACAAAGTGAGAGGCAGGTCTGTGGAGGCTGGTGTCTGTGTGTGCCCTCAGGAGGCCACATCTGCAGTTCTCACTGGTCCCGAGACTCATAGAGAAGTTTTGTTGCCTAACAGAAAGGGAAAATGTCGGTGTTAACTGCAGTTTCACTTGCAGCCACCTTATCTGCTTCCTACCCTTCCAAAAAACCTCCTTTAAATCCAGGACTTTAAATTCTTCCTCTATTTTCCTCCATCTGAGGCATGTATTAGCATTCAGGAAGTGCTCAATGCACTTTCATGGTGATAGGAAGTAAAAGCTAGGGTACAGGTCCCTGGGGAGTTCTAAAATGGCAATAAAGCAGCAAAGAGCCACAAACCTGCCCATATACATCAGAAATTACATTTATGTAATTTTTACAGCAATTGATCAGGTGACTGATTGGAGTGTTGCTTTGGTTTTTCCTACCATAACTTTTGACTTAGGAAATATGAACCTTCAGTTTCATTACCCATGCAGGCCTAGCACCAAAAGACTAAAGTCTTCTATTTCCAAAAATCAGTGACTTCTTTGAACCTTCATGAAGCAGCAAAAACAATTAGCTGAACTTAGGTTCCAAAGAGTATTTCATAGTGCACAAAATCCAAGGAAGTTTAAAGCCAAATTCTTAGTTCTTTTCATCTATTAACATACATAAGATCTTGGGAAACCCTTCAGAGTGCATAAATTCTTCAGGTCTCTGTGCAGAAAGTTAAAGTCATGTTCATTACACCCAGCCATAGCTTGTTTCTAAGCAACAAGGCCCTGAATTCCCTAATAAAAAATAATAGAAATACTCCTAAGGCTGAATGCTCTCTGTGGTGCTGGTAAACACCCCATGTGAAGATTTTCTTCATCCTCGTCTAAGTTTTGGCTGCTTTGCTTACCTTATGCATAGCTGCCAGCCAGGCTGCTGACAGCTTCTTGTTACAGTTGAAGTCTTCACCAGCAGTAAATTTCATCTGTGTCACCTCCTCTGACCCTGGTACCTTGTACTGCAGGATCATTCCTACGGCACGAGTGTTGCCTCCTGAAAAGAGAAATAACATCCAGAACAGCAGCAGATTTTACCAACTAAGTAACACAACGTTTTCCAGCTCATGAGCATGTTTGGAGAAACGTGCTCAGTTCAGAGCACAAGCAGCTGCTGGATCCGAGGAGCTCATGACCACAGCTCCTAGTGCCAGGCAGTGGAACCTGCAGCTTCATATTGTTTCATTCTCTCTGCCAAGCACCAAGGCAGAACCTGCACCAGCCATCAGGTAAAGCCACACACCTGGAACACCCTCCTGATTTACTATCACCATGTTAAGACACTGACATCACAGTTTCATACAGTAGCCTGCAGTCAGTGGGCTTAGGGTCCAATTAGACTGATGGCAAAGCAAGGTCCTGCTGGATGCAGTCTGGCACAACAGGCAGCAATCCCTCCAAACCTGGCAAAGGTTGGGAGTGATGCTTACATAAGGCTAGAGAACAGCTGGCAACATAATTTACTTCCTGAAGGAAATTGCTACCAAAGAGACTGCTGTGACAACATCTTTGTATCTCTCTTACTGAGGCTGAAGAGATGAAGATAAACCAAAGCAAAAATACAGACATTAAACACAAACTTTTAGAATGATACTTTACTGTCATTACTTCCTGCAGCAGTGGAGCATAAACTAAGCCCTAGGAACAGCACCAGCATACATAGGACACTTTTTACAAAGCTCTTTTTAGAAGTATCTGCACAGAGGCTGTTACTACAATATCTGAAGAGCTGAAACAAATCACAATCTAAGCCAAACTCAAATCTAGTTAGTGCTGTTAATGCACCTAATCCAATCAGAAGCCCACAGCAGGGTTTATAAAAGAGCTGTTTTCTACTCTGCTAGAATAAATGGAAATTCAACTTCATCAATTGCTTCTCTGCACCTACTGGTCAGAATAATGGATTAAGGGTTTCCTGAAAGATAAACCAGTGGAAATCACACCTACAGCCTTGAGCAGTTTGCCCATGTCTGGCATTGCTAAGATAGAACACACCTTGTGTAACAAAGAGGCCTTTCTTTTAAAGTTGTGTAAAAGCAAGCCATTAATTAACAGTTTCAGTGCAAAGCCTTTCCACAAAGCACACAGGGAGTATATTCATTTCTAGTATACCCAATTCAGCAACCTGCTGAAGCAGGTGACCTGTAACTCTCTATACTACTGCAGATACCATTTCTCATCTTCCCTTCTCCCAGCATGGACAACAGCACTTTGATCTAAAGAAGGCCTTGAGTGCCATAGTTCTCCAGAATGTTACAAAACATTCACTCTTGATTTATTAAACAGACATATGGGAAGGAATAGATACATGTCAGACTTGAACATAACTCAAGTTGAACAGCAATTATGGATCAAGCAAATAATCAGCACTGCAGAGAAGAGGTGAAGGGGTCATGACATGCTTGGGTGAGTCATGCTGAACGGCACTGCAGATACCTTCAGTAACAGGCTGGCTCTCCAGAAGGCTGGTGTAAGTGTGAATATCTTTTTCTACCATCAAGAAGGAAGGCAGGCAGAAAAGAGATAAAGCAGTCAGAAGAGTAGTGAACAAGGAATTACAGAAGCATTAAGTGACTCAGCAATACACCTGGTTGATTTGAATACCAAGGTAAGTTTATTTAAGTTAACATGCTGTACTGGCTGAATAATGCACAGATGGGCTGTGCAATTAGAAAAACCCAGCAGTGACAGAAGTGTTGATAAAGAACAATTATTGAAATTCCTGACCTTGTTTGTTCTCATTTCAGTCAAATCATATTCAGGTTCATCCTGAAATACTCTAAAATCTGGTAAGAGATGGGGCAGTAAGTTGCTGCACTCCAGTTTAGATGTTACCAGCTTTGTTTGGCCACCCCTTCATCTTGAATGAAATAAGAAAGCATAGTTGAATTACTTACTCCCCCTCCCCCATTTCCTTCTGTTAACAATGTTTGTACCAGTCAAGGCAAAATCCCAGCTGGATTCTGAAATGGAAGCCACCAAAAATTAACAGCTCCCTCCTATGAACTCTTAAATCAGTAAACATTTGTATATACCCCAGAGAACAGATGACAACCACCCTTACTCAGGTTTATCAAGAGGCTCTCCCACATTAAGGCCGTAGGGGAACATCTCAATCTTTAGGTGTTCCCCCAAATCCCAGCAGCCACATGGGACAAGGTCTCACAGATTTTGCTCTATTCTGAGAGCAGTTGTAACCAACAGTTACACACTGAATGTACTAGCATTCAGTCTTGCTCAATAACTGCAGCTTCAGATTTTATAGTTCATTTATATTAAAGGAAAAATTTACCTCCAGGAGTAAATCCCTCTGTAAGTATCTGAACAGTTGAAATCTGTATAATTTCAATTTCATAATGGCTGTCTCCATCCAAAACCAGGTATCTACATAATAGAAAAAAAAAGGGTTTTTTTCAGTTTTTTTTCTACAATATCAAGTCCAAATCAAAGGAAAAAATAAAACAATCTCTCAGTGATGCTGTTTATGTGTTCTTTGGGGTGAGGACAGATTGAAATCAAACAGAAAATACTACTTTTCATTGAAATTCCACCCTTCTAAGACATTCTGATCCACACTGTTAGTAAATTCAAACATTCCAGTATTGTTGGATCTATCCTTTCAGTCTGATTACTCTCTCCAATATCCTCAGGGCATGTTACTCTTATATGTAGGTTACTATGTAATAATAGAGCTGTAAGTACAACAGTGCTACAGTTTACAAGTGCAATTTCTATCAACCTTTCTCACCTCTGATTGTTGGAAAGTCGACAAACCATGAGCTCAGATTTATCAGATGTTCCCAGAGTTACAAAGAATGTAGCACCTGGAAAGAAACATTTTAGTATTCTAATACAGAACTCAAGAAGCAACATTCTAGTATCAGAAAGAATAGCTAACTTTGGTTACTAATACACTGCATTGAGTGAAATAAGAGAATAACTGAAATGTTAAACTGATTAACAGCAGCAAAACAAGTATAAAAAGCTGATCTTTATGTTCTGATTTACAGGACCTTTCACATAT